GACCCAACACAGCACGAACGACCATGACTCGTCCTCCTACCGCCACTACGAGAACAGCACCGAACACGGCTAGGGATACTATCATTCGGCCCAGTACTGCCACCACATTGACGAGACCCAGCACGCGGTCATCGTCGCGACCAAACACCTCACAGGCCATGAAGCTTGAGACATACACTCCGCCGCGGGCAGATTCAGTCCAAAGCGACATCATGCCCCTTCAGCCACTCCCAGCGACGCTCTCTCGGACTGCAAGCGGTCGTTTCTCTATTACGAACAGCCGCCCGACCACGATCCGCATGCACAGCTACAACAACCACTCCCGCAACGCAAGCACTAGTTCTGGACGAAGCACACAGAGCACACCACGAGGGCGGTCTGCTACCCGTTTCCAAGGGAGCATTGATCCTCTCCGCATGTCGCCTGTCACACCCTTTAGCCCACCCTTCCCCGCCCCTCTACGAACCGTTTCACCGTTGGCACTGGGCCCCAATGCCCGGCAATCAAGCAGTCAGCGGACGCCATCGCCACTACCACCACGGACGCCTGTGCCGGGACAAGATAAACAGCTACCTCTCACGCCTTTCCCTGTTGGATCCGCAGACTGAACCCGACTCTAGATGATCCTTCCGCCTGCCAGAACAACCTACGATTCATCACACCTAAACAACACGCTCGTTACCCAAACATGAAGCCACAGGACACGTCCTTTCATTAGCTAATGCTACGACGAAGATACGACTCATGTCGCTCTTACGACCCGGAGCAGGTTTACTCCAGCCCGGCCAATGCAACGGTCCCAACGCCGGCAGCATCAAAGTCGCTCTTGACTACGACGACATGTCACCACCACACTCGTTACACCACCACATCACCGATGACGACCACGATGGCCGCACACGTGCTAAGGCCACGTCATTGGAGAGACACAACGTCCGCCTCGGGCGCGGGTAATAGCCCCGTAAATACCGCGCCGATAGAGGATCCGGCACCTTACTTAATTAACCCTTGCTACACCATGCTGGACAACATCTTGAAACGACACGTTTGTCTAGTTTCCACGCCTGCGTCTTGCGCATCGCGTCTTTTACTTCAGGCTTGCTTTAGACTTGTTGTCTTGCATTTTTACATCAGCCATTCCTTCTCTAGAGCTATTCCTGTCATACGTTCTCTCTTTTACGCTTAAAATATGTAATATCTAATCACTGGTGTCTGGATTTACCTACGTTCTACTCTGCATACAACCACGATTAGGGTGAGGGAGTACGGAAGCGAAGCACATTAGATGATAATGTAATACTCAGGCAGTAGAACCAATGTGGATTGTTAGATCCTTTAATACACAAACACGTCAAATGCACATGCGTCGATTATGAGAGAATACGGCTTGTAGATGTAGCAGAATGCTGCTTCCTGAAACGACAATTGTGGATGCCATTCGATATCTAAACCTCAAATCAACAATACCCATCTGTACAATATACTACGCTCCAAAACGCCAAACAGAGACGCGTGTCGCGCCTAGAAGTAATCATCTGAACTTGCTGTAAATGACCGCAATGATAAGCAGCACCAAGACGGTGATGATAGCAATCGTAATGATGCGGTTCGTGGCCATCCTGCACAAAACCTCGTTAGCACACCCTCTCTCAAGAACCAAAAAGGCATCCATCTAGACTCCACATCAACCGGAGCTTGCGTGATGAACAGAAAGAAGCGGGAAAACATACCGTCTCGCCATCCCCCTCAACGTCTTAATACTCCGATCAGTATAACTCTCACTCTCCAGCAGCCTCTCCCTCGTATTCGTAATCTGCTCCCTCTGCCTATGAAGATCGCTCAGTGTGCCAGCGCCAATCTGCTCCGTCTCGAGCGCGATGCGCTGGCTCTCTCGCAGCCGTCCACTCGACCTGTTCAGGCGATCGGTGCCCGAGAGGAGTTGCTGGCGCTGCTCGAGCTGCGCATCGCCGCCTTCGGGGTTGTCGGTGTAGCGGTCGCCGAAGAGCTTGGCCTTGTCTGTCGTGTAGGTTTCTAGCTTGCGCTTGTGCGTGTCGAGGTCGTGTTCGAAGTTGCGGAAGCGCGCGTTATATTTCGATTTGAGGTTGGCGGGGATGTTGGACTTTTCGAGGCGCATTTGGCCGATCTGGGGGGTGGGCGGGTTAGCAGCGTGGTCTTGTACATGGTACTGGTGTTGTGGTGGTGGTGGTGGTGGTGGCTATCGCATGCGCAACAGGTGTGTTTAGACGGCGACTCACCAGCTCTTCGGCTTCTTCCAGCGCGCGCTCTGCTCTGCTAATCGCGGCTTTCCGGGGCTCTCCGCTGGTCTCTTTGATCTGCTCTATTTGCTGGCTGAGGTCGGCTTGCACCAGCTTCAACTCGGCTTCGTAGCCGCTGAAGCGCTCGGTGCCTGCATCGGCGTCGATAAGGTTGGACATGGCGGCGGTCAAGTCTGGATTGCGCAGTGTAGGCTTCGGTGTCTATGGGGGGCTATCGTCCTTGGAGTGTGAATGGCGGCCTGGGTTGGATGTGTTTGTGAATGCAGCTCCGAGCCTGGTGTCCGGAGCTCATGAGGCGCATTACGCACTTGCCAAGGTCATCCCTGCCGTGTCACGTGTGCCACTACGCTTCTGGATCTGGGGAATCTTCAAGCGGCAAGGCCACCTTACGTCCTTTACTGCGTTCATATCATCACTCCTGCTTGTTACGACGAAGATTGCTCCTGTCGCAGCTTGCTAGCACAACGCATTACCCAACACGAGCGTCGCCGATGCCGAAGTTGTGATTACGTAGGTGTTGCTTTAGCCCCTTCCAAGGTTGAGAGCCATCAGCCGTGTCGTATAGTTCCTGACTGTCTCATGTATTCCACATGGTAGCAATGCGAAGATGCAAAGTCAGCTCCACAATGATGCTGATAATGCCATGGGCCCTAGTCTGCCGTGTCCACAAGAGAGCGGGTCTCGAACCCATGGCCAAGTGACTGTATAATGCCGCGGACCTCTTCCTGCGTTCAGAACACGCAGCTGAGAGTTCACGATACCTGCAATGCCTACATTTCGAGCGTGCGTACTTTCCCTCGACACTAGTCATGCGCCGACTGAAACGGCATTCGCTTCAAATCGATGACATCATGACTCGCATCTTTGCAGCAGCAGCTTTCCTTTGCTCAATTTCTTTCGTCACTCTGGTGCGTCAACTCCAACCGTGTACCTGGCTGTTAGTATCCTCGCCATAATTACGCGCTAGTTGATCATGTCCGGAAAGATGGAGAAGAAGCGCATAGCCATTGTCGGGAGTGGCATATCGGGCCTGAGCGCCCTCTACGCACTTCGCAACACCCAGCATGAAGTGCATCTTTTCGAGAAAGAGGAGCGTCTTGGTGGTCATACCAACACAGTGCCGTGGACACACAACGGCAAGAGCACGCCTGTTGATACGGGCTTCATCGTCCTCAACACCGCTACATACCGTTCGTTCCCCGTCAAAACCACATGTCTACGTAGTCCCAAGTCTAACGAACGTCCAGCAAACTTCATCAAATTCCTTTCAGCGTTGCGTGTTAAAACCGTCGACTCAGAGATGACCTTTGGCATATCTCGCGATGCTGGTGCTTTTGAATGGTCGGGCACGTCGGGCAGCTCACTCTTCGCGCAACCTTCCAATGCGCTCAAGCTCTCCTTCTGGCGCATGATATTCGACATCATCCGCTTCAATCAATTTGCTCTGGATCTTCTAGCTATCCCACCAGGTTCACCCGCAGCTGTCGCCGCTACGGAAATGAGCATCGGCGAGTATCTCGAAAGAGAGGGGTATTCAGATGCGTTCAGAGATGACTACCTCATCCCAATGACAGCGTGCGTATGGAGTACGGGCGCGGATAAATGCGCTTTGGAGTTTCCGGCATTGACTTTGGTACGATTCATGTGGAACCACCACCTACTTAGTACCATAGCAGAGAGACCACCTTGGTTGACTGTTGAAGGAGGATCTAGCAAGTACATAGATGCAGTTCTGGATCTGGCTGGCAACTGTGAGGGCCACCTTGGGACGCCGGTTCTGGCGGCAACAAGAAAAGGTGGTAAAGTCGAATTAAAGCTGGGTGGAAGGGGAGAAGGTCAGACAGAGGCTTTTGACGAAGTGGTACTTGCTTGTCATGGAGACCAGGCGAGGTGGATGTTAGGCGACGAGGCGACAGCGACGGAAAAGGACATCCTGGACGCATTCGAAACCACACCAAACACAGCATACCTGCATTCTGATCTTTCAGTGAGTTTTGAATGATTTGAATATACTCAACTATTGCTAACAACACCCAGCTCATGCCTCAACGACGAACAGCATGGTCCGCCTGGAACTACCTCACCACATCCAAGCAGAAAACACCATCATCCGCAAACCTGACTACTTCTTCCGGTGCCCTCCAGACCGTCTGTCTAACCTACGACATGAACACTTTGCAGCACATCCCCCGTGACGTCTACAAGAATGTCCTCGTCACTCTCAACCCACCGCATCCGCCCTCTCCTGCCCTTACCCAGGCAACATACCAATACCGACATCCGCTTTACAACTCGCGCATGGTATTTGCGCAAGATCGTCTCCACGAAATTCAAGGAAAGCAAGGCATTTGGTACGCAGGCGCATGGACAGGATATGGTTTCCATGAAGACGGATGCCGGAGTGGATTACAAGTTGGAGAGGCTTTGGGAGGCGACGCTGGATGGGAAGTAGTAGATGCCAAATTCATGAGGGGAAGGAAACCAGTTCTGGAGTGGAAGGATCAGGTTGTGAGGATCGTCATCATGTTGGTGCAGATGTGGGTCATCATATTGGAAGGATTCGCGGGTGTGAAGAGACAAAAGGGTGTGGCATTGAAGGCAAATGGGAAGAAGCAGCTATAGCCCTGGTACCAACCAAACCCCTCAACGTAGTAATCTCTCCTCTTCTCGGTCTACTGCTCAACCCCGTCTACCAGTATCCGCCCAGCTCCCTTCTCCCATCCACTAGCGACGGCGTAGTACAAACTCCCTCGGCTCAGGCGTCAGAAGACCATCAGGCGCATCTGACAGATCCTCCGACAGCGGACTGGTGAAGCGAGCTTGGAACTCAGCGGTAGTATCTCGCTTGCGCTTCTTCTGGGTGCTGAGGTCAAAAGTGACAGTCTTCTTGCGCTTTTGGCTAGTACCCATGCTCCTCGCCGGCCGCAGCGGAGTGGTGAAAGCGACATCCTGCTCAGAAGTGACTTCACGCGGCATCGGCTCGGGAGAGCTCGGTGGAATCCAGACATAGCCGATTGGGAGGCCGCCCCTGAGCTCCGCGTAGTGCACAAGCGGAGGGTTGAACTCGAGTTTGACCTCTTCAGGTGTGGATGTAGGCGCTTCGCTCAAGTCGAAGTAGGCTGGAACGTGGTAGGGATCGTTCTCCGTAGGCTCCAAGGGAGTGTCATCCTAGGCCGAAGGACAGATCCCGAGGGTCTTGTAGCCACCAACTGGTAGGTTGACGTAGCCGGCGTACGCCGTGAACTTGGTGACGACCTCCCCGGGGGTGGGGTGGTAGTTGGTCTTGTCGTTGGCTGGGCGCTTGTGGGTGCCCTGGTTGGTCATGTTGAAGGAATTCGCGAGCGATGCCTGGATGTAGTTATTAGTATGGTGTGCTGTACAATATCCGCAGAGATTGTGTGTGAGGATGAGGTTGAGCAAGAGAAACTTCCAATGCGAAAAGTTTTCTCATGGCTTCAGGTCTCATGAGTGGTGATGGTGATAGATGAAGCATGCTGCTTGTGTCTTCGAATTCGGGAAGTGAAGGTGAAAGACATACCTATCAACTCAGACCCATCCTTGCGGCCCTACATTGAACGCTCACTGCCTGCTGAGTTCCTCCTCATATGGCCTGGTCGCCACATGATCTGCTCTTGCCATTCTGTAGAAGCACTGTGACCACTTCGAGTGATGGAAAATGTTCGTGCCCGATTCTTCGCATCGATATGTCTCTTGATATCGTTATCCCATCTGAGATACTGCTGAAAAGCAGTGATGACGTGAGGCGACATGATAGGCATTGGTGCTGTGTTCGACAGATAACTATACGTGATGCATACGACGAGGGAGAGGAATAGTATACGGCACTCTCAAAGAGGGAACTACGGACTATATGCTACGAAGACGCGGCTCCGGGTTCACGATCCACTCCAGACAGCACACCGCTATGGGGTATGCAATACCAAGCGGTCTAGCAAAGGGAATTACATCCAAGTCTAGCCTTGTCAACAGCCTCAACGATCGCGCACGCATGATAAGAGTCATTCCAAGGGACCAGCTCTGCGCGTGGAGCTCATGCTGCAGACCCAATGTGAGACATAAGCGTTTGCATCCTACGTGCAGCATCTTGGACAATGCAGAACAATGATTGGTGCGTTCCTGCACTTAGATCTCCATTACTGCGGGTTTGCACGTGAAGCGAACGATCGTGATGGGAAATGAGGCTCAAGCGGTGTGTCTGATGGTTGAGCTGACACGTGTCTGCGAAGTGACTATACCGCTTTGGGACGCGCGCGACAGGCATTGTGGCGCGAGGCTTGCTATCGCGCACCTGTCACCTACCACTCCGCAACAAACTTGGTTCAGGGGCGTCGTCCATTGTACATGTCACCCACGCTGTCTGTGGGGGTATCCGCGGCCGTATACCTGCTGGTCCTTCCGCGTAACGCGCGACGCCCACGGACAATCCACGCGCCGATCGAGTACCAGCACCTCGCGCAAGCCCAACAGTCGTTCTTTCAGCTGCCCAACGCGCATGCTTTGTGGGTTTCCAGCTCAAGAGCAGCCTCGATCAGAGCAAAGCATGGCTCCACACTACACAGTCGTTATGGCTGATGCCCCGCATACCAATATACCTGATGGCACGGCCTGTGGGGTCAACCCGGCTATGCGGAGCTTGCTCTTTTCAAAAGGCACAGATCGCTACATACAAAACCTTCGGATACTTTCGAGATGCGAAATGACGTGAGCTTCGGATTTCTCATCGTCCTTTATGTGCCATTATCTTATTCCGCCTTGTATGTCGCTCAATACGTCAGAGCGAGTGGACTTCTCACGTATGGATTATCAACGAACGAGTCCATACTCTAAATCGTCGAATAGCAACAAGCTGAACAATCAGTGAGCTTCGTTTCTCATTATCGACTTCCAGCAGAAGGGGCCTGGAGATTGGCTGCAATGTGTTTGATAGGACCCATATGAACAATAACCCACCCAACCCGGCACTTGCTCTGCTCAACAGACACATTCAGCAGTTACACACATGTCTCAGGTGGGGTAATTTATCTTCTAGGCCAGACATTGACAGCTTCTGCTGCCTTATCCACCAAGAGCCTACTACGATTGCTGCGATGGCTTGCGATGCGGGCTGTGAGCTGCGTCATTCGGCACATGCATGTCTGTCTCGAAGAGTTCCAACCCAGGGATATATAAGTCGGAGTACTTCAATCCTTAACAAGCCCATCGTTCCAGCATTACACTGTATTCACATCAAGCCAGCTCAAGATGCTCTGGAACTTCCTCGCCGGCCTGGTGCTCGTTACCCCGACCAAGGCTCTTATTCGATTCGGATGCTCGCAGCTCGTCGTAGATCGCCTTGACCCCTTGGTCGAACCAGGCAATGCTCCATCATCGCATCTCCACCAGATCATCGGAGGAAACTCATTCGTCCCTGATATGAGCCCTGATGTTCACGACCCACCTGCGATGTCCACATGCACAACCTGCCAGCCTGCAGATGACTTCTCCAACTACTGGACGGCTTCTCTTTACTTTCGCGCGAGGAATGGTACCTATAAGCGCGTCAGCCAGAAAGGCAATGCAGGATTTGAGGGTCAAAACGGCGGTATGGTGAGTAATGAAGGACAAGTGGCCCAGGGACATGCACTGACTGTCCACCTATGAAGACTGTTTACTACATGCAGAATCAGCTTGCCGACTACCAGCAGAAAGCGAAGGTCAAGGCATTCCAACCGGGCTTTCGTATGCTCATCGGCTCACCAATCGCATCTACAAAGGCAGAAGCGGATAGGTATCCTCAACTTACATATACTTGTCTGCAAGACCCGAGCACACGCTTCCCAGAAACAAAAGCGTTCCCTACCAAACCTTGCCCAGCAGGCATCATGGTCAACTTAAGGTTCCCAACGTGAGTAGTGACGCAGATCTCGCAAAGGGAAGGATGCTGACTGAAGCAGGTGTTGGAATGGTGAAGACCTAGATTCTCCGGATCACATGGCTCATATGGTATGATCCCTACGCCCTCTGGAGACTGTATCTTCTAACGCATCATAGGCCTACCCCGTCTCAGGTACCTTCGAGAGCCAAGGCCCCTGCCCAGCCTCCCATCCCGTGCGCATGCCGCAACTCATGTACGAAGTAATCTATGAAACCGCACCCTTCAACGACGCTTCTCTCTGGCCAACAGACGGTAGCCAACCGTTCGTCTACTCATTCGACGACCACACCGGGTACGGGAACCACGGCGACTACATCTTCGGCTGGAAAGACGACTCGCTTCAAAAGATCATGGACGAGGAATGCTACGTCAGCTGCTCATCGATGAAAACACAGAGCATGGACATGATGAACAGTTGCAGCGTGCCGCGAAAGGTCATCGAGGACATCGGTGATCAAAGCTGGATCCCCGCGCTTCCGGGGCATTCGAACGCTACGTGGACGGTTGCTTCCACGGGTAAAGCGTTCCGTGCGTAGATCGCATATTACTCTTTGCCCCTGTCCTGCTTTTGGCGACAACGCAGAGAAGGATGGATGGCTGGGAGCTTTGACGCTTGTTCACATGATCACGCGTCAGTGTTGTTCTTTTTTGGGACCTTGTTGCTTCGGCCTCGTAGATCTTGTAGATCGCATGTACAGGGTAGCTTACCGCTTTATGCATCTCCGGTGCTTTTCTTCGCGTGTTCGTACCTGATGCGCCTCTCCCGCAGAGCCCCACTCACACCTGCTTTGATCGGTGAGACCCCACACACACATCGTCTAACGTGCAGTAGTCACTGATGTTTACTGATTAATTTATCTGATCTAGTAGATCACGTCACGTTTTTGTGATTGCAATGTAGACGCTTGCAAGATCTTCAGGAGTTGCAGGTGTGGGAGGAAACCATAGTGCAGTTCATCACCTCGACGTGCTACTCTAACCGCTAGATCGCCCCTCCAATTCAAGTCCTTGACATCCACCAAAAGCAGCATATCGCAGTTCTTTCCCACGAGATTAACGTCTTGAAACTTGCTACTTCATAGTCAGCCACCACACTACCACATCATGGCTTGCAATGCACGTACACTGTCTTCTAGCAATTGTGGGGTTAAGGGAAGCCAGTCGTAGTGTTCACAAAGCGTGTGCTTCTTTTCCAGCGCCAGGTGTCAGGGTCGTTAGCCATGGCGGTAGCACTAAAGAAGACGACGACAAGGATAACGATTTGCTTGAAAACTCTTGTGAGCTGCGGTACGGCTAGCATGGTGAGTAGAGAGGGTGAAGGTGGGGATGGTCACTGATTGGCTGTTTGTCATATGTGCTAGTGTGTCGTAGCGAAGGGGATAGAAGAAGGGAAGATTTGCAGGAAGATAGGTCAGAAAAGGTCATGCATGCATCACGTTGTGATCACAGTATGATCCCCATCGCTTGGACAATCCAATGAAAGGTTTATCAAAGCATTTATTCGCAATGTAGAGGACTAAATAATGCCACCCTTCCATCGACTGTGATTTTAGGAGTCAGCTTCTGGAATGTACAGGTATGTAAACCGCTTGTACCAAGGTCGTGTACGGAATGAATCCAATCCTAACCATAATAGCTCTTCTCAGTCAGTGACCCCCCTGCTTCAAGCTTTCGGCACACGCGTAATAATCCAGGAACTTCTTCTCTTGCTGCATTGCGGAGGATATCTGCGTCAACATGTGTCTCTCTGTGCTCCTAATCCATTCTTGTTCCACTGTCCCCCATAGACAACAGCCACCGCTTTCTTCGACCAGATAGCTCCAGAGTCTTGTGCGCCAAAAAGTCCGGGTAAAGTGGGTGGAGGCGGCGAGAAGACTATGGTTTGAGCGTATGGTCTGTCGCCGGGCCCGCGGAAGGGTGGGTCGGCTCGACGGTCGAACAACGGTGTACGAGTCCGCGTCCAGTCTGGCTGAGTTTCTTGATCGTACTGTGGACCTAGCAGAGGAAACTGCGAAGAGGGTTGAGCGAGCTCAGGCAGGGTAACATGCTCTTCTTGCATGGTATCGTGACTCGGGGTTACTGGGTTGTCGCGCTGATCCGGCTTGCGTGAAAGCCTCACAGTGGGTATCTTCGATTCAGGTACTGGCGTATTGTCCATGAAGCCACCGTGCGGATTTACCAACGTGAATTTCTCTCCTATAAGACGTGCTTCCACCTCCCAGAAGTTGTCCGACATGTTGACTAGCACCACCCGAAACTCGCTGACTACTAATTCGCGAGTGGCCATGTATCCATTACTCGGACGCTGTTGATACATCATAATCGATCCCGACCGCTCGAGGTCGATCCGGTTGAAGTATCGACCGCTTTGTCCCCTGCGATAGAAGTC